CCTTGGTAATCCTACATAAAATTGGTAGCTCTGATGGAGATTAGCCAATGGAGGTTTGTCTGTCTGTCTGTCTATCATCTATCTATCTATCTATCTATCTATCTATCTATCTATCTATCCATCTATCCATCCATCCATTTATCCTCTATCTACCTATTCTATTGCTATTCAACCATTAATTCCTGCCTTAAACCTCACTGACTTTTTTTTTAAGTGAATCATTTTAGAGGAAAGATGTGTTTGGTATAAGACATGATATTTGATGGGGAGAAAGCGATTCCTTAGGATCAAGGTATTTAAAATTTTAAATAAATTTGAAATGCAAAACAATTACCGTACACTTACTCTCCTTGTAAATATTAAAGTATCAGATGATAAGGCTAAAGTCCTCTTTGCCACTACCTCCGAACCCAGTTGCTTTCTCCATCTTCCTAGATGTGACCTATTTTAGCAAAGATGTACATCTTTCTAGTCCTTTTTCTATCCAAACGAAACTCTAAAACGTGTCATATTGTAAATATCATTGTGCACTTGATATTTTCCCTCATCAGTGTCTTGGAGATCTTACCTTGTTAGTAGAAAGAGATACATATCTTTCTTTCTAATTGCTTCTAGACTTTCCCATGGTATGGCTATACCAGTGCTCATTGAGTTATTCCCATACAATGTGCACATAGATTCCTTCCACCTTTTTGCTATTATACACAGCCCTGTAGTGAATATCCTTGTACATACTTCCTTATGTACTCAAATACTTTTCATATGCTTATATGCATAATACTCGTAATACTCATGTGCTGTATTTTTCTAGCATGGGTACTTAAAGTGAAATTGCTGGGTATGCATATTTTATGTTTTAATAGTTATTGCCAAATTATCTAGCAATTTTAATTTTAAATGAAAGTCCAGTGATAATCTCTGATACGACTTTTCTCAACTCTGCTTAAACCTTCTCACCACTCAGCCACTTTCATTTTTTGTTAAAAACTTTGCCTTTGCTTCTCCAAGAAGATGGAAACCATCCAAAGGGCTTTTGCCATTGAGTTTTCCTTCTTGCAGGGCAAGCTGGGCCAGGCAGCCTAGTCACTGGTCAGATGTTTAGAAATTGGGTTGCTCAGGCCCATTGAGGTGACCAGACATTCAGGGATTGAGGAGCATCTGGTCAAAAAACCAAAGCAAAGCAAACCTACTGGTCCTTTTTAAATGTGTTGATAAAGTCAATGACATTTCCATTTCAATCACAACATTGGTGCCAAAATTCAAACAATTGTTTCAGCCAATTTTATACCTGAGTCCCTCAGATTTTTACTATTTTAGAAGATAGCCTTGTAACAAAATGATGTCGGCTTGGGACTGAGGGCCCAGGAAGGAGATCATCCTGGGAACAACTTGCCAAGACAACTTTCCTCATCTCCTTCGATCAGTGAATTTCTGTTCCTCTCTGCTGTACCTTGCGCTCATGTCCTCCTCTCCACTCTTATTGCTGCCTCTTCATTCAGACTCCCCTCACCAGCTTTTTTTTCAAATATGGGAGCTCCATACTTACTTGTTTCAGCAGGCCCTTCTCTCTTCCCTCCATTTTACCCAGCTAAATCTTAACAAAACACAAATCTGGTTTTGATTAGCTTTGGCTTAATATAATGTCTTATTATCCAGACTTTTTGTCCTGCCATTCAAAGTCCTCCATGATTTGTCCCCAAACCAGTCTTTTAAAATGTATTTTCTCCTCCTTTATATATCTTTTACTTAGCAAAACAAACGGTCACACGACCCTAAACTTTTCTGCCTCTCTTCTCTTCCCGTGGCTGGAATGCCTTTTCCTCGACTCCAGAGAAGACCTTGCCTTCAAAGTTTGGCTACGCCCTGTGGCTTCTACCATCTTCCTCATGCTCCACCAAAGCCAGAGTCACCTTTACTGGGCGGGCAATGACAGGTGTTAGAACAGGGAAGGGAAAACAGAAGTCAGATGCTGGGCTAGTTCTAAGTGAAATAGCTGGACTGAGTATAATCTACATAAAGGTTAAGCAGATTCTAAGTGATGGATGGTAATGTGTTTTCAATTCTACCGTCTAAAACATAAAGTGAGAATGTAATCGAATTACACCTATATTCAAATGTTAGCCTACAGCAAGTCTCTATTCAGCTCTCCTCCAGTGCAGGCATCTAATCAGGAAATGGCCTACTATGTAACCCATGAATTGTGTGTAACTCTGAACCATTAAGTGCAACGAAGCTAACCCCAAATATATTAATAGCATATTTAGTCTATATTATGTATAGTAATTCATAGATGAAAATGATACTTTTGAATCTCTTAGTAGAACATGTACTTTCAGCTGATTTTAAAGATTAAAAAGGATCAATTTTATATAGTTTTCTTTATACTTTTCTGCCTGTTCTTCCGTGTGACTAATGGTATGCACTTATGAGTAGACTAATGCAAGTTAGCCAAGTAATCCTCGTCATGGGCCAGTTTTTTCTTTTCCTTAAGGATAATCGTCAAATTTCTTTTCTTTAAGGGTGATTGGGATTGAGTCTCCCAAATCTCTAAAGTTACCTTTCAGAATTTATTTCTAATAATGAAAAATTGGAAGCCAAGTATATGTCCAAGAGCTGTAGATTGATTACATACATATAGCATATCAACATTGCAATATTATGTGGGCATTAAAATGCTATGAAGCCTATAGCAATATTGAAAGATGTTTTTGATATACTCTTAAGGAGAGTTAAAAGGCAAACTCCTATGTAAACTTAACTTGATATGTATATGGACCATGAACTTGTCAGAGTGGTAGACTTGCAAGTAATTTTATTGCTTTAAAATTTCTTTTAATGTTATAATAATGAGTGGATATCGAAATCCCAGCATTACACTAGCTCTTTTGCCCCTGGCTGAGTGGTGGGAGTTGAACTGGAGGAGGAGCATTCCTTCTTCCCTTATCCCAGAATGCTGGCTGGAGGGGGTCCCCCTAAGTAGGGAAGAGTACATATTGCATTTGCAAACAAGGAGAAACTACCCTGATTCTACTCAGGAAGCCTGGTTTAAACAAACTCTTATAAGAAGAACCTGAAGCTTCAGCACAAGGTAAAAACTCATTGCAGCTTCCCTAGCTGCTATAAACACACCCAACTCTCTAATCTTGATGGATTGATTATCTTACGAGAGGGCAAAGAAAACGACCAGATGGGATTCCAAAAGGTTTTACTAGTCTTCGAGGAACTGTAGAAATTGGAAAAATTACTAGAAATTTAGAGACGTGCAAATGGTGACTTACTTTCCAAAGTATTTCAAAGGTGAATTTTGAAAATGCTTGAAATACACAATAGCCCGAGAATTAGATGTTGAGTTTCAACAAAATTTAATTAGACATTTTGTAATCCTTTATCAGATGGTGATGGAAATCTAGAACATTAGACCGAGAAGGAAGTTAGAGATAGAAGCAAAGCTCACTTGCGTCCCTCATGGGTTCACTATGAATAGTCTTATGTCTCGCTGACTTATTTTTTCTGATAAGGTGAATGTATAGTAGGAGAGGGATGCTGTAGACCAGTGTTCTTCAAACTGTAATGTGTACAGAAAATCACCTGGGGATCTCATTAAAATGCACATTCTGGTCAGTATGCTTCGGTGGGGTCTGAGATCCTTCGTTCCTAGGAGGCTCCCAGGTGATGCTGATGCTGCTGATCCACGGACCACACTTTGAGTAGCAAGGTTTTAGACCATGAGCTCCAAGTACAGTGGGTTAAAAACCAGATTCCTGTGCTCTATGTCCAAAGTTTCTGATTCAGTAAGCACAAGACTCTATATTTTTTCAAGCTTCCCGGGTAATTTTATTGTGCAATCCTTATAGGAAACAACAGCTTTAGACATTGCGTAACCGGTCACCATGTCGTTATAGTTTTGATTACAACACAGGTGTCTTTGTAACTGGTTGGACCTTTATTCAATCCTAGCTGAAATTAATTACTTTTACCTCTGTACAACTTCTTTACCTTGTACATACTTCTATTATTGCATTTGTACATATTCCACTTTCTATTCTTGCGTGCCTTAGCTTCTCCTACCTATGCCCTCCTTCTCACTGATACGCCCTTAATGAACTGTGTATGCTCAGTTACTTCCGTTTGAGCTGAACTGAGCACTGACTTATTCTGCACCCTTGAGCGTCAGGTTCATGTGATCTATGGACATGATAATACCTTCTCTATCTACTTTGGTGAGGATCAAATAAGAAGCCTGAAAGAGTGTCCAGAGCCTGATGTTGTAAACGAGTAAGTAGGTTCCATACTGTTCTCTGTTAAATTTTATGTGACCTCAAACAAGTCATCCGAAGTCTCTAACCCTCTTTCTTTCATCAATAGCAAAAAGGTTTGAAAAAGTGTGAAGTACTAAATAAACATGGGAGAGTTTTCTTATTAGTGATAGGAAAACATGTTACTCTTTAATTTGGCAAAATTAACATCCAAAATTAAAAGAGCAGCATTTAATTAATATGTCATTAATTTTTACATGAATTCTCCCTATTAGCAGTGTTGCTTACAAATGTGTTTGAGAGGGGTCCAATATGTAAGCATTGCTCACTGCTAGATGAGTTTCACCTGATACGTTTGCTGAATTTCCATCCCCTTGCATGATTCTAGTTGGGGACCATATTTTTCCAGCCTTAGTTGCTGCCACGGTATGTGGGAATTGCTCTCTTCTAGGTTGTGCAAACCCACAGTGAAAGCAGAGTGCCATCAGCGCTCTCTGTTTGTGCCTCGCTAGAATTATAGTTTTCAAGACCTGTTTGACTTTGGCCGGAGAAAGAAGCCAATGATTGCAAGTTGATTTTGCCTGCTGCCTCTAGGGCCACCTTACCCGACTAGGCTGTGAAATCAGCATTCCTGTGATACCTATCTCGTTTGTACCATTCTTTGCCTAAACATTCTTTTCTATAGTCAATTTCAGAGAGAAGAGATACAGACAACTAATTCTGTTCTTTCTTTTTTTTCTTTAGAGTTAGTCTGCCTAACTGAAGACCTCTACTGAAGAAAGTCTAGCTAACCACCTTTAAGTATTAACTTCTCAAGGACCCAGGAAAAGGTGAGTTAGAAATGGTAAAGACCTGAGAGAGATGGTGGGTTAAGAATATGGGCTCTGATGATGTGGGCTCTTATTCTGGCTTTCCTGCCTTCTTGCTGGATGATCTTAGGTAAGTTAGCTCACCTCTCTGAGCTTCAGTTTCCTTTTTGGTGCAAAGAGGATTAAAAGAGGGGATCAATTCTGTTAGAATCTATACTGGTAGGAGCAGAGATCTTGGTTTTGTTCTCCAGTATACTCCAAATGCCTAGAAAAGTTTCCAGCGCATAGTTGGTGCTCAACTGATGTTCTTGAATGAATAGGTTCCTTCCAGAGGGACAGAAAATATGTAAGTCTTTCTCTAAGTTCCCTCAAGGCATTTCTCCACATTCTCTGAAAGTGCTGCTTCACTGGACTGTTCTTATTGTTCTTTAACAGTGAAATGGCCCCAGCATTTTGTTTACCATGCCAGACAAAAACTAGTAGCACAGTTAAAAGTCTGAACACTCTGTGGACTTTCACATCATCTCAAGTGTTTATTGACTTGGACTAAAGTGGATGCAACAATTTGAAGCTCCCACCAAGTTTCATCTTTTTATTTTTTATTTTACTGTTTACAAAACAAGATATTTTATGGATGTAATTTATACATCGAATAGAAGAGGGCTAGTCCCAATATTATCTTTATCTTCGAGACATAAATAACAAACAACTCCAGTAATCAAAATTTACTACAATTGTAATAGATTTTGGCAGAGTTTACGTATTGTATGCAATGCTAACATAACGCTGACTTACAAGGATAGAAGCCAGGATTTCTAGTTTGGCTTTGTTACATAGAAAAAAAAAAATCCACTACTGTATTTGTAGTTTTTACTACATTCAAGAGATTAATTCTCGTAAATAAAATTGTTTATACCGGCTTCTAATCAGAAAGTTGAAATTATCTGTGGCAATGTAACCACTAAAAACTTGTATACTATGAAAATATTTCAATAATTAATGCATGCTCCATCTAGAGTAATTGACAGGAGGTCATAAACATAATGGGCCATCTGTGTTTGATTTGTACATGAAAATGCTTAAAGGGATAGGCAGGTAATTCAAGCTTCTCTGGCAAGGAAGATTTGTTCCAACTTCTCCAAGTAGCAGAGCTATTTACTAGAGGTTTTTTCCTTCTTTTTTCTTAAAGCCTTTTCCAGATTTCTACTTGAGCTATGCACTTCTCATTCTAATGCAACAATCCCTTTCAGTGTTTTTGATGTATATGTGGACCACAGCCTTCCTCAACAATTATACTTGGCTCTCCTAACCATTTCAATGCACCTTGAAAGCCACGTCTGATTAAAAAATATCAGAGGCTCACTCTGATGCTATAACTTGATCATTCATTCTGCTCAGTCTGACCACTTCAAAATTTATTTTGCAGTTTTTCCTCTTCTATCAGTAAACAAACAACCCTGCTTATATCTGTTAACAAAGAGTAATAGCACCATTATGAATCTTAGTAAGATTTTTGTAATTTACTCTTTTGGGAGTGGACTGGAATCACAATATTTCTGGATGTAAAATGGTCTTGGTGGACATCAGAGGATGTTCTAGAATTTTCTGTGTAAGGAAACCAAAGAGCATTGAATAATTGCCTAGAACACTGTCCTGAGATCCAGACTCATAAATTTATCCAAGAACACATAGTCGACTGGAATTTACTGAGCATTGATTATCTGCCAGGTATTGTGCTAAGCAATGATTATGTTGAAAGCCACACATCTGATTGGTTGAACTAAACCAACCAAGTCCCTGCTTTCATGGATCTTACATTCTAGTAAATGCAACTTTTTCTTAGACATCTTATAGGTTCTGCCTAGAAAACTAAACGCGTTATCTCCCCTGATCACCTCCCTCCAAATCTATACCTCCTCCTGTATTGCCTATTTTGGGAAAATGTGTCACCATCCACCCAGTTGCCCAAGGCAACAACCTAGGATTATCCTAGACTCTTCCCTTCCTCTTTCCCCTTCACCAAAGCAATCCACAAGTCCTGTCAATGCTAACTGCTTGTCATTGCTTGACTCTGCTTCCTTGTTTGCATCCCTATAGTCATACCTTAATTCACTTCTTAAAAATTTTTTTGTCTGGAATATTGCACGAGCCTCCAGTGTTACTTCCTTACCAATCTATTCTTCATCCTGTTGCCAGAGTGGTATTTTAAACATTAAAATGTTAATACCATTATGTCATTTCCCCGTCAAAAGTCCTTACTGTAATAGTTCTACGATTGCCTTGGAGACAAAACCCAAACTTCTTAACACAGCATCCTAGGAAGACTTCTGCCAACGCGGGCTGGGCCTGATTCTGCAATGCCACCTCTTGCCACATATCCTGCTCTCTGGTCACAGAGGAGAGTATGATCTGAGCACGTCATGATAACTTGGTGCCTTGGAACATGCAGTTCCCTCTCCCTGGAATCCCTGGAATTCTTCCTTTGATTCACTTGAGCAATCTCTCTTCACCCGTCAAACTCGACTCATGCAGATGATGCCTTTCCTACACAGCTTCCCTTCCTGGATGCTTGCCTGGCTTATTAATGGCCTCATTTTGGAACATTCTGGGTTCGCCTCTGTGGTAGCATGGCGCAGATCTGTTTACCAGCCTCAGGTGGTCACACGGTGCCTGCGTATGGGAGGTGTGTTCAAAAGGAGGGTGGAAGGACGTTCACCATGTGCCCAGCATTGAGCTGTGTCTGGTCCAAGATGTGACAGAGTTTAAAGCCAATTCTCACGAGAAAGTGGGGTTGGCAATAAGATGGTCACTCTCTACTTTCTCCCATCCTGTTATTTATTTGGAACCAATTGTTAAATCACCCCTATTCTCTTTTCCAGGCTAATTTTTCTTAAATGTTTTTAGCTTTTAAATACCTCTTAATATTCAGTGATGTCAGTTCTTGCAGCTCTTATTTACCAACATATGCCTTTTAATACTTTAACCTGTGTCCTTCATGTTTTCCAAAAGCCTCTGAGAAAGGTACGAGAAAAAAGTTAAATTTGTTTCATCCTAATTTTTGAAGTAGAGGAGAGTTTTTCAGTTCCATTGAGGCATTTTACACAATGCCAATCAACTAAATAAAAAGCAGAAAATAAAAAACAACCCCCTCCCCCCACCAAGTTCTTCATGTATTTGACATTACAAAGCTATAATATCTGGATGTTTAGCTGAAATTTTCATTTTTAAGATATATTTTTGTTTTTTGAGCAGTCACAACCTCCTGTCTTTCTCTCCTATAGAAGAAAACTAAATACTAGCTATCCTTCTGATTTTAATCAGAAAATATAAAATATAAATTCAATAGAAGTATAAATTCAGCTCTTTACTATTTTCTCAACCTGTGCTCATTATCTTTTAATATATAAAGTATACTTTTAGAGTGATAAGAAAAACGAGAACTTTGAAAATTGTTAATGAATGTGGTTAATGTATGCATTGAAACAAAGGGGCAGTTTAAGAAATTCCAGTTAGATCAGGAAGAAAATGCGAGGCGTTTGAGGAACCTGCATCTGTGGTTGTTTTCAACACGGCTGAGGGCGCTCAGTGTGCTGTGCTCTGTAGGGTGCTGCGAAAGGGGAGAGGAGGGTCACGCAGGTCAACCTTTGTTTGTCTTCACGTGCCAAGCTTATGAGGTTGATCTTGCCTTCAACACATAGGACTAGCTGTTCTTGATTCATCCCGATGATCAGAAGAATTTTTACGTATTTTTCTGTATATTCCAACACTAAAAAAGCAATATTAGAGAGCTATAGTCTTTGCCACCCAGATGTTTAGAGTTCAAAGCAAATAATACGACAGGCTGGAGGGAACTGAGCCCTCTATCAGACAAATGCACGGCCTGATGAGACAGCAGATTAAAAGGCTTAACTGAGGACAGTTTCAGCTGCTGGAGATACATGCCTAACTGAGTTTTCCACCAAAATGTAGTTTCTTCTACTGTTTTTTGATAGTATAAAAGCAATGCGTACTCATTATAGAGAAAAATTAGAATACTCAAAGAGCAAGACTGAGAACACCTAAAAATGAATTTTCCCTTTCACTGCAATCCCGTTGATATATATCCATGTAGATGGGTAAAATTGCATCATCTTCTACGTACACATTGTAACCAGCCTTTTCCATTTAGCACGTCATCAAATATATACTTTTCACTAAACCTATTTATTTAGTATAATTTTTATGGCTTCAAACTATTCTATTGTCTGGATTTACTAATGTGTATGTATGTATGTATTTATTTATTTATTTTTTGTGAGGAAGATCAGCCCTGAGCTAACATCTGCCAATCCTCCTCTTTTTGCTGAGGAAGACTGGCCCTGAGCTAACATCCGTGCCCATCTTCCTCCACTTTATATGGGATGCCGCCACAGCATGGCCTGACACACGGTGCATCAGTGCGCGCCCAGGATCCGAACCTGTGAACCCCGGGCCGCCACAGAGGAGTGTGCTAACTTAACCGCTACGCTGCTGGGCTGGCCCCTTACTAATGTGTATTTAAACAATTCACATTTATTAAACATTCAGATGGCTTCTAACTTTTCTCTATTTCAAGATGTTGCTTTAAAATATGTATAGTAAGACATCTTGATTGGCGTAATTATCTCGAAACGTTTGTGTACTTGAATAAGAAACTTGTCAAGAAGGCATATTACGTGCTACAAATCAGTTCACATATCATTTTTTAAAAAAAATTTCAAACATATAGAAAATTCAGCATCATATATAATTACATCAAGTTAGCATGATTCTTTATTTTAAAAATTTGGATGATGTGCCTTGTAAACAAACCAGTTCCGTGTTTGAGAGTGATGGGTAAAAAAGTTTGGAAGGTGCAGTGGGTATTTTAAGGGCATGAGATATAATAGGACTAGAGAGGGCTTTGGAGGCAAACGGATGGATGTTTGAATCTCAGCTTCATGACCGGGCTGGTCACGATCCTCACCCACGCAGCATCTCGGCCTGGGGAGAGTTGGCATCCA